AGATGCAGGCTCTAAGAGCCTGCTTTTATCCTGGGAGGAATAAAAAGGAAAGTCTCTTTCACCTGGAATGAAAGGGGAAGGCCCAGCAGCCACTGAGGCCCTGAGACAAGGAATGCTTCTTGCTTTTTTCCCCTTCAGGATCTCTCTTCAGCCTGACCGCATCCACCAGCTCTCCCATTTAGCGGTGATGCTCCAAAGAAGAGCCTCAGTCCAGGCAGGACTCCTGAATTCGGCACATTTCTACCCTCTCTGATCCTTTCTGATCAGTCAGTCTGGAATAACCAGGTTCCGTGCCTCCAGGTGGCTGCCGTGCCCTCTGTTTTTGCTGCAGAACGATTAGGGGTAATTAGCATCCTTTTTAGCAGCAGGGCTGCAAGGAATGCTTCACGCTCCTCGCAGCACAAGGGCTTTTGCAGCTGAGGTGTGAGGAGGAAGCACGTGGCCTGGAATCGCTGCACCCAAGCAAGCCCTGCAACAGCACTGAGCTCCAGCAAAGGCAGATGACCTCCATGCAGACCCCACATCTCTTCCCTGCTGCCCCTGTGCAGGATCAGCGCTCCCTGAGAGCCTGCATGTCTGCAGCAGCCTGGCACATGCAGAAGACGGATCGCCACAACCTGAAGTGTCTTCCTCCGCTCAGCTGGTTCAGCAGCGCCGCATTCCAGGTAGGGAGAACATTTCTCCCTGACCTCAATTGATGACAAAACAGCAAAGCGCAGGGCTGGATTGATGGCACGAGGAGATTGTGTCTTAGGAGCCGCTGTGAACGCTGCAGCAGCTGTGCTAATTCATCATTCCTTTATTTACGAAACGCGCGTGCAGGCTGAGCGCAATTAAACGATGTGCTTTGGGATCCTAGGAGATGAAAGGATTCACGGTAAACGAAGGTTTGTTACCCTGCTTTACCATGCACTGAGCCCACCTACAAAAGCCACGGCAAGCCAGATGCAAAACATACGGCTTTAAAACCAAATCAGCACTGGCTGTCAGCAGCTGTGTGTTTGATCTGGGCACCTTTCCCCCTCTTTTCAGAGAACTCAAGCCTCCCAGTGACGTCTCCCTGCGACAGGCGACTGAACAGCTTGCAAAAATAATTTGGGGAGGGGGGAGATGCTGAAACATCTGGCAACTGTGTGGCAGCACTGCTTGCAGAGCTCAGGATGTAGGAAGAGACCTTGCAGATAGGCTCACGGTCTCCTGGGAGGTGCTTTGAGAGGTGGGAGTGCAAGGAAGGGGATGGCAGGGCTGACAGAGGGGTCTTGGTTAATGCATGACGGGCAGGGGGCTGGCATGGCAGCTGGCGGGAGGGCTGTGACCGGTTCCAGGGCGATGAGAGCTGCTGCTGTTCCCCTGGGCCTGGATGCTGCCCTTTCGCAGCACTGTGATGGGGATGCTGCTCCCCTGGGCCCTGGGTGCCACCCACCTCTGATGTGTGAAGGCAAAGCTGCCCCTTCACAGCGCCGAGATGGGAATTCTGCTCTGCAGGACTCCGGATGCCATCCATCCCACTTCTGTGGTGGGGATGCTGTTCCTTTACAGTACTGTGATAGGGATGCTGCTCCCCAGGGTGATGCCATCCATCCCAGCTGTGCGATGCAATGCTGTCCCTTCACAGCACTGCAATGGGGATTCTGCTCCCCAGGCCCTGAATGCTGTCTGTGTAGGGATGCCATTCCCCAGGTCCTGGATGCCATCGATCCCAACACAGCAATGGGAACACTGCTCCCCAAGGCTCTGGATGCCACCCATCCCAGCACTGTGACAGGGATGCTGCTCCCCACGATGCTGCCGTCCGTCTCAGCACGGTGATAGGGATGCTGTCCCTTCTTAGCACTGAGATGGGGATGCTGCTCCCCAGGCCTTGGGTTCCACCATCCCAGCTGTGTGCTGTGGATGCTGTCCTTTCACAGCACTGCAGTGGGGATGCTGCTCCCCAGGATAATGGCATCCATCTCAGCACGGTGACAGAGATGCTGTCCTTCACAGCACTGAGATGGGGTTGCTGCTCCCCAGGGCCTGGCTTCCATCCATCCCAGCTGAGTGCCGTGGATGCTGCGTCCCTTTGCGCAGCACTGCTGCCCTCTGCCGGCTCCGCCGCCCCGCTCCGCCCGATCTCGGTCTCGGTTTCGGTTCCGCCCCGACCGGCGGCGGTTTCCGGGCCCATCCGCCGCAGCGTTACCGCGGGCCGGGTGGGGCTGTGCGGGTTGCGTTGTTGGGATCCGGGGTTTCTCCCCCGTTCGCAGCCGCCTCCCGGTTTGGGAAACGAGATGGCAGCCAAAACCTGGGCTGCATTTCCCGACCCGCCGGGAGGTGAAACCTTCCAACCTTCCGCTGCCCCCGACAGAAAATGTCGCCCCGGGGGAGGGAAATCCGCAGCCCTGAACCGTCTCTGCAGCTCTGCTGCTCGAAGCTCGGCTGAGAGGCGGACTGTAGCGTGGTGATCTAAACCTTAAATGGAGAAAATGATGATGCTGGGAGGAGATGTAAGGACCGAACCCCTGGACGTCGGTGTTTCTTGGTCCCAGCTGTGCTGAGACAAGAGGTAACGGCCCCAGGTTGTGCCAGAGGAGGTGCATCGTTCTGTGATTCGGTAGTGCTGTGTGCCTGGCTGAGCTGGGGGCCTGTGCTCATTCCTCTGTTAGGGGGGAGCATCCTCATGGGCTGCTTGCAAGCTGCTTTCTTAAGCCATGCAGTTTTTCCTCAATTAAGTCGGTGATTGAGCAGCTGCAGCAAAATGCAGCTGGGATGTGGCTGCTCCTTTCCCTTCACGTGGAACTAAAAAACACACAAGAGATTGGGCCCGGAAGGAAAAAGGGAATGGGACTTTGGGATGTCAGTAAGGTGCGCTCACAGGCCGATGGCTCCCGTGGTAGAATTTGCTTGACAGGGGTTGGGAGCTCCCTTTCTAACTGCTGCAAACGGGAGCCATGAAGATCAGAGAATCACAGAACGGCCTGGGTTGAAAAGGACCACAATGATCACCTGTGTGCAGGGTCGCCAACCAGCAGCCCAGGATAATTGCTCTGACCACCTCTGCAAGCTGCTCAGGATCAATCTGCTGGGAAATCCTGCTCATTAAGTTCTTCATGCAGAACTTAAGAAGCCACAGAAAACCACGAGGATCCCACGCCCTCGCCAGACTGCTGGAAAACAGAGGCAGGGCTGAGCAGATGGGCAGGAATGTCCCTGCTCAGGCAAGCAGCTCTGGTCAGAAGCCAGCAGCAGAAGATGGAACACAACAGGAATGGCCTGGAAGGTGATGACATGTGCTGTGGTTGTGATGGGATGGCAGGCAGAGAAGAGCAAGGAAAGGAACTTGAAGTCTACAGACACACCAGTGTGCAAGGGGCAGGGAAGTGAAGGTTAGGGATTTGAACAGCACATCTGCGACCAAGCTGAGGGACATGCCAGCTCTCTAGGTGAGTCCATCAGCACTGAAACCAGAAGGGAGGAAACAAGCACACTGCCATTCCTCGGGACCAGCATTTCTGTGAGTTTTATGCTGATGGCCTGAGCAGGATCCATCAGAACAGACGTAAGAATCACACAGGGGGTCCAGAAGATGGATGTACACTCGGTTACTATTTTTTCTTTTCTTTTGAGGAAACTTCCACAGTATCTTTAAGTTGTGATTGTGCCCAAAGGAAGGTAAGCAAGACAGCAGCCTGCAGCACACAGCACCCTGTATTCAAAGCAGCCTGAGGGAACTTCAGCACCTCCCAAGGCACGGCATCCATCTGGCACTGCAGCCTGAGGTCATGCAGAACAGCTCAGAGGGATACAGGAATCCTAGAATCACAAGGTTGGAAACGACCTGCAAGATCATCTTGTCCAACCTCCCATCACCACTGCTACAAGCACTAACCCACATCTCACAGCTCCTCATCCAGTGGCCTCCACCACCTCCGTGGGCGGCCATTCCAGCGCCTGACCACCATCTGAGAGAAGTTCTTCCTAACGCCTAACCTAAACCTCCTCTGGTACAACTTGCGGCCATTTCCTCGGCTCCTGTTTGTTGCCTGGGAGAAGAGTCCAAACCTCTCCTCATCACAACCTCCCTTCAGGAACTTCTGCCCCTCACAGCACCCCGCTGTGACCGACTGCTGTCCTCAGTGTCTGTGCAGGATAATCCTCAGCTGCCTGCACCTCCACCACCACACAGCAGCAACGTTCAGCTGCTGGGCATCTGGAAGAGAAAGGAACAGAGCTTAGAAAGGGCCGGAGCGCACTAAAAAACCTCCATATACACAGAGTCAGAACGGCTGGTGGAACAGCAGGGACGGCTGGGGCCGGTGCGGCTGCGCGAGCGCTAGGCGAGGTTCGATGACCCCCGGGAGCCGCCGTTTGGGGCCGGGCCGACCGAACCCGGCTCTTCTTCCAACCCTACGGCGCAGCGAGCAGCAGAACGGGCGCGTGAGAACCGCACCGCACCGCGCCCTGCCGCACCCGCACAACAACACCCTGCGGGCCGACCGCGCCCGCATCGCGCGGCCTCCGGGCCTACAGCCGGGCCGGGCCGCCGCAGCCGGAAGGGCCGCTGGGGGCGGGCGGCGCCGCAGGGCCGCACCATGGCCGCCGGGTTCTCCACCGTCCCACAATGCCCCGCGGCGCCGCCCCGCCCTGGGAACGCGCGTCGCAAGCCCCGCCCACCGCTCGGCCAACCAAACCTGCTCTCCGTTCGGCGCGGAGCCCCGCCCCCTCGATGGGGAAGCCCCGCCCTTCGGCGCGACGCGCTCTCCCATTGGGCGCGCTGGCCGTCGGTCAGTGCTTGTTTTCGGCGGCAGTGGGTTGGGTTGCGCCGGCTGCTCGCTGGCTCGGCGGGGCCGCGCGAGGAGGGAGCGGCGGGCGGCGCGGCCGGGCGGGGGCAGCGCGCTGAGTGCCGGCGGCGGCGCTGCTGCTGCTGGGCCCGGCCGCTGGGGTCGGGTCGAGGCCGGGCCGGGCCGGGCGGACGCCGGGGAGGGGAGGGTGGGGAGGGCCGGGAGGGGAAGGGGCGGCTGGGCCGGGCCGGGCCGGGGGGTCCCGGCCGTGCGGAGGAGAGCGGTGATCTGCGCCGGGAGGACCGGAGCGTCCCGGCGGCGTCGGGACCATGACTCTGGAGTCCATGATGGCTTGTTGCCTGAGCGACGAGGTGAAAGAGTCGAAACGAATCAACGCCGAGATCGAAAAGCAGCTGCGGAGGGACAAACGCGACGCACGGCGAGAGCTGAAACTGCTGCTGTTGGGTGAGGGGCGGCGGGCGGGGCGGGGGGAGGGCAGGGCTTTGTGTGAGAGTGGGGGAATGGGGGAATAATGGGGGAATAACGGGTGTCGGTAGGAGGAGGAAATGGGGATGGGGATAAGGAACAGGGCATGGGCAGTGGGGCATACGGCATGGGAATGGGGGTGGAGAACGGGGATAATGGGGGATAAGGAATGGGGGATAAGGAGTGCAGATAGGGCTGTGGGATAGGGATATGAGATAGGGGTTAAGGAACGGGGGTGGGCAATGGGGGGTAGGGGATAAGGGATAGGGAATAGGGATGGGGATGGAGAACAGAGATGATGGGGGGTAGGGAATGGGGGATAAGGGATGGAAAATGGGGGATATGGGGTAGGGATTAAGGAATAGGGAATGGTATGGAGAACAGGGATGGGGGATAAGGAGTGGGGATGGGAGATAGGGATAGGGAACGGGATGAGCAATGGGGG